AGGGAAATGAGCAACAGAAAAAGATGGGACAAATGGAAAAAAGCAGCAAACTACCAGACGTAAACTCGACCACATCAACAAATGAAGTAAACGCAACTGGATTAATAACTTCAATTGAAGACAGAAATGGTCAGACTAGATTTTAAAAAGCAAGAACTAACTATATGCTAAGTATAAAAAGCTTACTTGAAATATAAAGATACGGGTTAAAAGTTAAAAAAAAAAAAAAGGCAGTGGGGGAGTAGCTAATGGCCATACTGGTCCCCATGCTCTCCCCTCACAAGGCCTCTGTCCGCCCTGGCTGTCGAGAGTGCTGCCCTCAAGAAGGGCAAGGGTGCTGGGGACGCCCCTCCGCCCCCAGCTCTGCGCTCACTCGGGACTGGCGTCGCTTTTTCCTAAAATGTCTGCTCACCAGGGCTCACCAGTGAAGCCAAGCCTCTAAAGGTCTCTTTGGTCATGTTTCAAATTATGAATTCCATTTCTTTAACAGGTATTTTCGATTTCTACTTGTTTCCATTTTGGTAATTCACACTGCTGAAGGAACTTAACCATTCTATCTAAGTTGATTACAGGATCGGCATGAAGTTGTTCGGAACACCCATCTTATTATTCTCTCACTGCCAGGTAAGGTCTGTGGTAACATCCCCCTCTTCATCCCTGCATATCAGTACAGACGTCTGTCCCCCCTCCCCGTTTCCTTCATAAGCACAACTAAGGTTTATTAATGCTATCGGTCTTTTGAGGAACCATTTTTTGGGGGTTTTCCTCTATTATTTGCCTATGTTCTATTTCACTGATTCCTCCTGTCTTTTTCATTTCTTTCCTATTATATAATTTTCTCTTCTTCTAGCTTCTTGAGGTAGAAACTTGGCGGATTTTTAGACCTTTCCTTTTTTGTAATGTAAGCATTTATAGCTATAAATTTTCCTGCAAGCACTGCTTTACAGATTTTGATGTTTCCATTAATCATTGAATTCAAGACATTTCTAATTTCCTTTATGATTTTTTTCTTTGATGTATAGGTTGTTGAGAAGTATAATGTTTAATTTTCTAATTATTTAAGGATTTTCTAAATATCTTAGTTACTGAGATCTAATTTTTGTTGTGGTCTGAGAGCAGGGTTGTATGATTTCATTTTCTTTTAACTTATTGGTATTTGTTTTATGTGTGGCACAGGGGGTCAATAAATTTTTCTTTTAAAGAGCTAACAGTCATTGTTTTCAGCTTAGTAGGCCACATAGGGTCTCCACTAGATGTTCCTTTTCTTTCTCTTTTCCTCCTTCTTCTTAATGTGTCTTTAAAAACATAAAAACTATTCTTAGACTTCAAGCTGCACAAAACTAAGCAGTGGGCTGAATCTCCCCACCGTGGCCAGCCTTACATATGACATGGTCCATCTTGGTGGAAGTGGCATGTGTGCCAGAAAACTGTTCTCATTACGCTGCTGCTGCACAGGGCATTAAGTCCTGTTGTCTGGTAATGTTACTCAAGCCTTCTACACCCTCACTGATTAGGTGTCCACTTGTTCCACCAACAAATAAGAAGGGAGGGTTGTAATTTCCAACTCTAACTGTGGTCTTATTTATTTCTTCTTTTGACTCTATAAGTTTTTGCTTCATGCATTTTGAATTCCTTTTATTATGTATGTGTATTTATATTTAGGATTGATGAGTCTTCTTGATGAAGTGCTTCTTTCATCATTTTGAACTGTCCCTTATTCTCTCTGGCAACATAGGGTGTCTTGAACTCTGCCTTGTCTGACATTAACACAGCATGTCATTCTTGTGGTTCATGTTTGGTAACCCCTTTAACATCCTTTTACTTTCAATCTATTTGTATCTTTATATTAAAGTGTTTCTTTTCTAAATGGCACATGATTGATATAGTCTTCCTTTGTTATCCTGTTATTCTCTGCCTTTTCATTGAAGTATTTGGATCATTTACATTTAATATGGTTGAGTTTGAGTATTTATAAAAATACAACACACTTTCATGATAAAAACTCTCAACAAATTAGGAATGGAAGGGAACTTCCTAAATCTTATAAAGAGCACCCACTAAAAAACCTGTAACTATCAGGACAATTGGTGGTGACAAAGCTGAATGCTTTCCTCCCAAAACTGGAACAAGAGACTCGAGCCACTCCTATTCAAGACTGCAGTGAACATCCCAGGTAGCACTATCAGGCAAGAAAAAGAAACAAAACACATACAAACTGAAAAAGAATAACTAAAATTGTCTTTACTCACAGGTGACACAATTATGTACACAGAAATGCTGAAGATAAGGAAAAAATCTACTAGAATTAAGGAGTGAATTTAGCAAACTAACCAGTTTATAAGGTTAATATCCAAAAAGTAATTGTACTTTTCTATATTAGGAATGAAAAATTGGAAAAAAACATTTTTTAATTCTGCTTACAATAACACTCAGAAACATGAAATATTTCAGGATAATTTAATAAAATATGTGCAAGACCTGCAAACTGAAAACTACAAAACATTGCTGAGAGAAATCAAAGAAGACTTAAATAAATGGGGAGATATACTATATTCACAGATTGGAAAATGAAGTATCGTTAAGATGTTAGTTTTCCTTAAACTGGTCTGTTTATCCAATACAATCCCAAACAAATCCTAGCAGATTTTTAAAAACAGAAATTGACAAGTTGACACTTAAATGTATATAGATGGATCAGTGGAACAGACTAGAGAGTCCAGAAATAAACCCACACACCTACAGTCAATTAATCTTCAACAAAGGAGGCAAGAATATACAATGGAGAAAAGACAGTCTCTTCAGCAAATGGTGTTGGGAAAGCTGGACAGCTGCCTGTAAATCAATTTAGTTAGAACACTCCTTCACACCATACACAAAAATTAACTCAAATAGCCTAACAACTTAAATATATGACATGACACCATAAAATTCCTAAAAGAGAATATAGGCAAAACATTCTCTGACATAAATCATAGAAATGATTTCTCACGTTAGTCTCCCAAGGCAAAACAAATAAAAGCAAAAAACATTTTTTAATGGGACCTAATTAAACTTACAAGTTTTCGCACAGCAAAGGAAACCACAAGCAAAATGAAAAGACCATCTATGGAATGGGAGAAAATATTTGCAAAGAATGCGACCGACAAGGGCTTAATTTCCAAAATATACAAACAACTCATACAGCTCAACATAAAAAAAACAAACAATCCAATCAATAAATAGGCAGAAGAGCTAAACAGAAAGAAGACGACATACCGATGGCCAACAGGCACGTGAAAAGATGCTCAACATCGCTAAATATTAGAGAAATGCAAATCAAAACTACAATGAAGTATCATCTTACACCAGTCAGAATGGCCATCAACAAAAAGTCTACAAATAATAAATGCTGGAGAGGGTGTGGAGAAAAGGGAACCCTCCTCCACTGCTGGTGGGAATGTAAATTGGTGCAGCCACTGTGGAGAACAGTACAGAGGGTCTTTTAAAAACTAAAAATAGAATTACCACATGATCCAGCAATCCCCCTCCAAGGCAGATATCCAGAAATGATGAAAACACTAATTCAAAAAGATACATGCGCCCCAATGTTCATATTCACAATTGCCAAGACATGGAAGCAACTTAAGTATCCATCGATAGATGAATGGATACAGAAGATGTGGTATGTTTATGCAATGGAACACTACTCAGTCATAACAAAGAATGAAATAATGCCATTTGCTACAACATGGGTGGACCCAGAGATTGTCATACTAAGTGAAGTAAGTCAGACAGAGAAAGCCAAGTATTATATATCACTTACATTTTTTAATATAAGTGATATAATTTTAACTTAAAAAATTTTTTAATAAAATGTATATGGAAATGAAAAAAATCTAGAATAGCCAAAGCAATTTTGAAAAGGAAGAACAAAATTGGAGTACCAACACCACTGATTTCAAGACTTACTATAAAGTGAGATTAATTAAAACAGTGTGGTTCTGGTGATTCATCAGAACAAAACAGAGGAGTCCAGAAATAGACCAACATATATATGGTCAACTGACTTTCTTTTTTTTTTAAGTTTTAATATTTTTTACTTCTCAAAAAAATTTTCTTATTGAAGTACAGTCAGTTTACAATGTAGTGTTAGTTTCTGGTGTACAGCATAGTAATTCAATTATACACATATATTCCTTTTCATATTCTTTTTCATTACAGGCTATCACGAGATATTGAATGTAGCTCCCCATGCTACACAGTAGGGCTTTGCTTTTTATCTGTTTTATATACAGTAGTTAGTATCTGCAAATACTGAACTCCCAATTTATCCCTCCCCACCCCCCTCTTTCCCTGTGGTAACTATAAATTTATTTTCTATGTCTTTAAGTCTGTTTCTGTTTTGTAAATAAGTTCATTTGTGTCATTCTTTTAGATTCTACATATAAGTGATATCATATGGTATTTTTTTCTCTCACTTCACTTAGTATGATAATCTTTAGGCCCATCCATGTTATTGCAAATGGCATTATTTTATTATTTTTATGGCTGAGTAGTATCTATTGTCTATATATACCACAACTTCTTTATCCATTCATCTGTTGATGGACATTTAGGTTGCTTCCATGTCTTGGCTATTACAAACAGTGCTGCTGTGAACAATGGTCTACTGACTTTCAACAAATGTAGCAAAGCAATTCAATGGGGAAAGCATAATCCTTTTTAACAAATGGCACTTAAAAAAACTGAGTATCTAAATTAGCACTAATATAATAATTTCAATAATTGTATATGGGATAAACTAATCAATAAAATAGTTTTTCAGGCTGAATTTTATATAAGCCCAGTATCCAACAATTTGTTTACTGCAAAAAACACTTTAAAAACTGAGACAGGTAGAAACAAAAAGACTGAAAAACATACACAAGGCAAATGTGAACCAAAAGAAATCTGAGCTACAATCTTAACATCTGACAAACTAAAAGTTAAGACAAAATTAGAGGCAAAGAGGAATGTTATACAGGTAAAAGGGGCAGCAGGACAAGACACAGACGCACTCACAGTCCTGGTCAACCTCTGTAACCTTTACTGCAGCAGCCGGCAGAAACCCAAAAGTGAAAACTGCCTTGGCCCTGGGCACTTATCCTAGAGAGAGAAAAAAACTTAAGTTCAAACAAAATCCTGCACATGGATGCTCACAGCAGCTCAACTTGTCACAGTCAAAACCAGGAATCAGTCCAGATGAGCGCTTACACTGTGGTCCGACCATATGATGGAATACCACTCAGCAGCAGAAAGAACAAGCCATCCATACCTGCAACAACCTGGATGCGTCTCCAGGGAATTACTGCTGAGCAAAAGAAGTCAATCCCAAAAGGTTACATACTGTATGATTCCATCTATACAGAACGTCTTCGAAATGAGAGAATTTTAGAAATGGGGGACAAACTAGTGGCTGCCACTGGTCAGGGATCAGGAAGGGGTAGTGGAGGGAGGGACACGAGTGGGGTCATTAAAGAGCAACACAAGAATCCCCGTGGCTTTGGAACCACTCAGCATTTCGACTATGGTAGTAGATCCAGAACCTACTCAGATGGCAAACTGTACAGAACTAAGCACCCACACATACCATACAAATAACTCTAAGGACTGTAAATGAGACCAGTGGGCTATACCAATGTCAATTCCTCAATGTGATATTTTACTATAATTTTGCAAAATGTCACCATGGTGGGAAACTGGACAAAGTGTATAATGGAATCTCTCTGTATTATTTCTACAGTTGCAGTTTTTAAAATGTGGATACTATTAATAAGCTCAAACTATTAAAGAAACACAAAATTTACACCCAAGGACAAAGTATCCAAATTCTTTTTGAACACACCAAGTAATATTTACAAATATAAACCACACACTAAATCAAAAAAGGAAGCCTCAATATACTCAAAAGACCTTCATCTTGCAGACTGTGTTCCCCAACACAACACAGAAATTAATATCTCAAGGATAGTTTCTAAAAATCCTATGTCAATCAACAAGCTGATGCTAAAGTCCATCTGGGAATGTAAGAGGTCCAGAACAGACAAAACAGTCTTGAAAAGGAACAGAGTTGGAGGACTTCCCAATTTCAAAATTTACCACAAAGTTACAGTAACCAAGACACTGTGGCTCTGGCATGAGGAACGACATACAGATTGACAGAACAGAACTGAGAGCCAAGAAATAAGCACTCACTAAAAACCTAAATCTCTAAACTGTTTTTAGAAATAATGATCACTACATAACTGTAAACTAAAAAAGAAAATGTGCAGTATATTGTATATACATATTTACATGCAGTATGTTGTATATGTGCAGTTAAACTAACAATTCCACCTAATAAAACTGAAAAATGACAAAAAAAAAACCCACAATTACAGTCAATTGACTTTTGACAAGGGTGCCAAAACAATTCAATGGGGGTTAGAATAGTATTTTCAGTATATGATGCTGGAATAAATAATTAGATATCTGCACACAGAAGAATTTGTTTGCAGGGAGTTTTCTTCTATTACAGATAACATTTCACTTCCAGTGATTAGTCTGTTCAAATTATCTATTTTTTCCTGATTCAGTGTTGGTGGTCTATACGTTTCTAGAAACTTGCCCATTTATTTCAGGTTGTCCAATTTGTTTCCACGTAGTTGTTCATGGTAGTCTTAAATTTTACTAGTATTTCTGCAGTATCAGTAGCTATTTCTCCTCTTTCATCTTTTATTTTGTTTATCTGGGTCCTCTCTCCTTTCTTCCTGGTGAGCCTGGCCAGAGGTTTGCTGATTCTGTTTACCCTTTCAAAAAAATAGCTCTTGGTTTTTTTTTATTTTTTCCTATTGTTTTTTATCTCTGTTTTATTTATTTCCTCTCTGATCTTTATTATTTCTCTCCTTCTGCTGATTTTACATTTTGTTTGCTCTTCTTTTTCTAATTTAGGTGGTATGTTAGGTTGTTTATTTGACATTTTTCTTATTTTTTGAGGAAGGCCTGTATCATTATGAATTTCTCTCTTAGGACTGCTTTTGCTGCATCCCATAGATCTTTGTATGGTTGTGTTTTCATTGTCATTTGTCTGAAGATTTTTTTTAATTTCCTCTTTGATTTCATCTTGACTTACTGGTTTTTTAGTAACATGCTGTTAAGTCTCCGTGTAATTTTTTTTCCCTTATTTCTCTTTCTGTGGTTGACTTCTAGTTTCACACAGCTGTGGTCAGAAAAGATGCTTGAAATAATTTCTATCTGCTTAAATTTGTTGAGGCTTGTTTTGTGTCCTAGTATGTGGTCTACCCTAGGAAATGTTCCATGTGCATTTGGGAAAAAAATGTATCTTGGGTTTTTTTGCATGTAATGTCCTGAAAATATCAATTAATTCTAACTGTTCCATTGTGTCACTTAGGATCTCTGTTGCTTTACTAATGTTCTGTCCGGATCTGTCCATCGATGTCAGTGGGCAAAAGAATAAATTTGGACCCTTACCTATACACTATATACAAAGAATTACTCAAAATAGATCAAAGACCTAAATTTAAGAGCTTAAACTATAAAATCCTTAGAAGAAAAAAATACAGCTAAATCATGACTTTGGATTTGGCAACAGTTTCTTAGGAATGACACCAAAATTAACATATGAAAATATAAATTAGACTTCCTCAAAAATAAAGTTCTTGTGTTTTAAATGGCACCTTCAAGAAAGTGTAAAGACAACCGACACAATGGGAGAAAATGTTTACAGAAGAAAATTTTTGCAAATCATGTATCTGATAAAGGACTTGTATCTGGAATATATAAAGAATTCTTACAACTCAATAATAAAAAGACAAATTTTAAAATGAGCAAAGGATCTGAATAAATACTTCTCCAAAGAAAATATCCAAGTGGCCAATAAGCACATGAAAAAAATGCTTAGTTCCAGCAGCCATCAGAGAAATGCAAGTAAGTCAAAACGACAATGAGGTACAACCTCACAGCCACTAGGATGGCTAGAATCATAAAAAGTGATAGTAAGAAGTGCTGGCAAAGACGTGGAGAAGCTGGTAGGAATGTGAAATGGTGCAGCTGCTTTGCAAAAGTCTGGCAGTTCCTCAAATGATCCAACATGGAGTGACCACATGACCCAGCAATTCTTTTCCTAGGCACACGCTCAAGAGAGGAAGACAAACATCTACACATAAACCAGGACACAAATGTCCACCACGGCATTATTCACAAAAGCCAAAAGAGGGAGAGAACCCAAATGTCCATCAAAGGAAAAATGGATTTTTAAAATGTGATCTAACCAAACAATGTAATATTGTTCAGTAATGACAAAGAATGAAGTACTGCTATGTACTGAGAGCTGGATGAACCTGGAAGATATATTAAGTGAAAGAAGTCAATCATGAAAGACCACATGGTGCAGGGTACCATTACGTGAAATGACCAGAGTGAGCGAACCTACAGAGGAAAACCAGGTTAGTGACTGTCCGTGACAGGGGGAAGGGAGGGCTGGAGGAGATGGGGAATGACTGATAAAGGGCACAAGGCTTCTTTGCGGGTGATGAAAATGTTCTCAAATTGATCATGATAATGGCAGCACAACTCTGTGAATGCACCATAATCCACTGAGTTGTACATGTTTTCATAAGGTTTTTATTTATTTTTACTGGCAGTACTGGGGATTGAACCCAGGACCTTGTGCACACTAAGCATGTACTCTACCCCTGAGCCATACCCTTCCTCCTCCAAACTATATACTTTATTTTATTTAATATTTTATTTTATTTTGGGGGAAGGTAATTACATTTATCTATTTATTATTTAATGGAGGGACTGGGGATTGAACCCAGGACCTTGTGGATGCTAAGCACACACACTCTACCACTGAGCTATGTTCTCTCCCCCGAATTGTATACTTTAAATGAGTGAATTTTATGGTGTGTGAAATATATCTTAATAAAATTGTCAAAAGAAATCCTATCTGTCTGAGACAAACATATCCTTAAAAAAAACACAGTTTAAAAAAATGATTAATATTCACAACTTCACAGCAAAAAAAAATGTAACAATGAAAATACGTATGTTCGAGTATAACTGAAAAATTGTGCTCTATACTGGAATTTGACGCAACACTGTAAAATGACTATAACTCAATAAAAAATGTTTAAAAAAAAGAAATACAACTGAATAATAATGGAAATACTACATATCAAAATTTGTAAGATATAGCCATAAGCAGTAAGAAAAGAATATGGTTTTAAATATACTTGCCAGGAAATGAGAATGATTAAAACTAAACAAACTAAGCAATTAACTTAAGAACATAAGAAAAAGAAAGAGTAACTATAATAATCTGAATCAACGAAATAGAAAATTTAAAAAGTGAGATTAACTAAAACTTGACTCTTTGAAAAAGGTAACTAAATACATACATGAATTCATGCCGGCAGGATTGACTGGATCATCAGAAGTGCTGGCAGGCCAGGTGGCAGGAGGGACCTCATACACTCCCAACCAGAGGGAAGGTGGGTGGCCACACGAGGGCATCGTGACAGCGCTCAGGAAACCACCCATGTCTGTCCATGTGCCCCGTGACCCACTGCCCCCAGGACACCCCAAAGAAACCAGGGGGCCGTGTATGAGGACGAGGAGGCAGCCCAGGAAGCGAACCTGGGGAGTGCCATGCACAGGTAGAGGGCAAACTCGATGGCAAGTCTCAAAAGGATGGGCAAACGGGAAAATGTAAGAAACGGAATCAGGTCCATGACACGGTCCAGCTATTTAATTTAAAACACACACACACCAAACAACAGCATGCATTTGCAGGAACACAGATACACAACAGGGTGCACACTGCACACGTGACAGCGCCGGCCAGGGGGAAGCTGGAGGGCCCTCCAAGGACAGTGAGGTGTCCCCAGCAGAGGGAAGGTAGGAGGTGGTGTGAGTCCTGCTCGCAGATGTCCCGGCCTGCTGTGCGGCAGCTCTGAGGGACACCAGCACCGCAGACGTGGACTGGGTCCGCGTGTCAGCCCCAACTGCAGGTCCCTTCACGGTCGGGACAGCCACTCAGCCCATGTACTCCGTCACAGGCTAAGTAGAGAGCAAATCTCAGCCAACAAACAAAATCAAAATTAAACCCAAATAATCATCATCATGCTGCTCACTTATTCATAACTTCTGTCATCTGAAACAATAAGCTAAGTTAACATCTACTTATTTACCCTTAAGTCATAAAACAGGAAGCCTAGTAAGGATTTCCACCTTGTGGAAGAGTGAGACACTCAAGGGCTTCTGAGACCCCATCCCACATGCAGAATCCAATGCACCAACTCACCTGCTCAAGGGGACAGCTCAGTCGTCCCAAGGCACTCAGAGTTTGCAGGCTGGTATTTTAGTTTGGAAAGCTAACAAAGGGTTGCCAAATTTTTCACTTTGCCAAACAAGGAGGAGGGAGGAAAGGAGACAAAGACAGAAAGAAAAGTAGACATAAAGGAGCAGAGGGTAAACTAACATCTACAATCACCTTCATTTAGACAATGGCTTTTTAAACATCAAAACGAGAAAGCCATAACCTCAGGACTGAGGATAACACCTCAACGAAAAAATTCAGTTTAAGAAAAGTTCACCTTTGCTTATCTCACCAGCATTACAGACCAGCATCTGAGAACTTCTATTTACACTACCAGTGACACCTGGCTACTCTTCAGATCACTCACTGAGAGCGACCACACGCCAGGAGCCCACACCAGTACACCTCCGTGTAAACCAAGGATCTCTGTGCAACAGCATTTCTGCACTTCCATCAGCTATCTATGCATTTTATGAAACAGTCACACTGGTGGCATCCCTGAAGGAGTTCCCTGCAATGGTACTGGTTTAGAAACAGCGAATCTCACTGCCTAAGGAACTGGTGTAAACCAGTCCCCAAACCGTCACTCAGGTAATGCTGTGTACTTTCCCAACCGCTTCCCACGTCCCAGCAACTACACGCTGCCCTCCACAGACATGCCAGTACTCTCAGTGGGCCCTCACCTACAGGAAGGCTAATCCTCCTTCCCGAGACGACCCAGAGGCCCACCTCTACCAGCATCTTTAGAACAAATTACTGGCACGTGAACTAGCTCATTGACTTGAGTCACCTCTGGCTATACTTGCAACATCAACACAGCCCAGGGATTCTGTCACATCCTGACTATGTTTTCCCACAGTCTACCTAGAATGCCAAGCAAAGCATCACCAACAGCCAAACTGAAGGAACTCCAAGTTCTGCTTCTTTATTTACTTTTTCTGGTGAGTATAACCATCAGACAGAAGGCAGCTTCCAAAGAGAAATGCTGCTAATATGATCTTGCAGTTTCACGAACAGAGCCCTTCAAAAAAAGAACACTGGGATAGAGACTGTTGCTAAGAGAAAATCATAATCTGAAATGCACCCTATTACCTATCCGGCTACAGATCAGCTGCTTTTTTTTTTTTAAAGATTTATGACCAAAGTCTTGACTCTACTGTGTGACCTGAGCATGACATGACCTCTTGTGCCCTGGTGTCCTCACCTGTAAACTGGGAACAGGAGCACCTCCTAGAGCTGCTGTGAGGATTAACTGAGCCACCCTGTGCAGAGCCCATAATTGGGGCGGGTGCACGTTCCACTCAAAGGTCCCAACTGCAGAGGAAAGGAGGAAACAGATGAGGTCACCGTACGCAGAGGACAGGCTCAGCGGTGGCCCAAGAGGCATGACCTGCTCCAGGAGCTGACTGTGCGCCTCTCCCTCTGCCATCACACTGGCAGCTCAAACTGGACGTGACAGAAGCATCTGCACTGCAGAAAGCAACAAAA